AAAATATATAAAACCAAGAAAAAAACCTTCTGCAGTTGGAAAAATCACAAAAAACACCAATATTGAGGCTTTAATATCATATGGTTCATTCAACGCTAAATGATATTAAGATTGTGGGTTGTTACCTGTGTAAACATTTGAATAAAATACTTGAGAGTTGACTTATCTATGTTATTACAGGCAAGTGAAATAGGGAAATAATAGATAACTCCAAACAACAATTAGCAAAGGGCATAACAAAATTGCAATTTAATACGAAGATGGTTTGTATATGTTATAGATCCTTTTATGTTTTAGATCAATGTATTTTATAGATATTTTTGTTTGTAAATTTTATGTGGGTAGTGATTATGGACTTGGAATGCAATTAGAAAAACACGAAGATGGGATTTTAGATTAAAAATGAAATAAAAATGAAGATGTCATTTAAGCAATGAGAAGGTTTGTATTTTGCATATTTTTCTGGTTATTGTTTAATGTTTATCGTTTTATTCATTTCGGATTTGTAATTTACCTTGCAAATAAGATGTTGGGTTTGATTTTTTTACATGGGTCACAAATTTTTTTTTTTTTTGTATTTTTTCTAACATAAATTGGTTAAGAAAACGGTAAGATAATATGATTCAAATACAAAATAAGTTGTTGTTTGGAGTTATCTATTATTTCCCTATGGATAATATGATTCAAATAACTCCAGGCAAGTGTACATCCTATGGATCTAAAAATAATTAGATAAAAAAAACTATTAAGTATCATTTTGAAAGCACTGGTGGAGGAGTTACTTGTAACGATGTGCAATATTAAAAAGCATAAGATAGATATATTATGTAAACAACCACCGATTTTTGGACTAACTGTTTATTTATGTATTTAGTTTGTTCGAAACACAAAACCATGTAATAATATTGATATTTAAAATATTGGTTGAAAAAACACTATTTGTCCAATACACGATTGAATACACCATTTAAATCCTAAACCTAAAAACGTTACGTTACAACTTGAGATCTAATCATTTTTCCAGCTTATTCTCATCTATTTTGGTCGAAAGAGATGACACCTACTTCCAACAGAACCAAATTATAGTAAATGATATTTATCAATACATTTTGGGCAATGTTTTAAAAACCGGTTTGAACCGGCAGATCGAACCGGTTGGACCAGAAACCGGTTGGACAAGAAACCAGGGAGGGAGCGGTTCAACTATCACTGATATTACGTCGATTTCTGAACCGGATTGAACCGGCCAGTTTTTAGAAAAACCACAGTTGAAGCAGTCAAAATAAACTGGTTAAACCGAATAAAAACACCTGAAAAAGAACCATTTACATAATTGGTGATTTTTTAAAAATCTATTTAGTTTTCTTTAAATAAAAAACATATGATAAATGTTATAAAGTTTTTAATGTATTTGTATTTATCTAAAACTATATTTTGTTTCAGTATTATACTTTATTTTCTTTTTGACATATATGGATTGATGTAAACACTAAAACTTTTGGTTATGTGTTATTTTAATGTATTTTGATTCATCTACAACTTATTTTTATGTGTATTTTTAATGTTTGAATTTGTAAACATCAAATTCATGATTTATAAATGTATGTATGTGTAGAAAAATAGCAAAAAACATTTAGCCTCTGAAACTAATACATTCAAAACTTTATAACATTACCAGATTAGGAAAAAACATTTATAAATCATGAATTAGCGACGGGTAAAACACCTATTTATTTGCGCTAAAGAACTAATCGCATCTGAAATTAATTTCTGAAAAAACTATCCGCACCCGTCGCTTAACGCGGGTAGACGGCTAATATATATTATATATATATAGATATATATATATATATATATATATATATAGCTATAATATATATATATACACACACACGTTAATAAGTATTTAGCCCAAAATGCTGAATTTTAAGAGATACAACCCTTAAAACATCATATACAATCAATTTATGCATTACCTTAAAAATATATGTGAAAGTTAACTAAATCCCCTTATCTCTCGAAGACTTTGACCCAGTAAAGTAGTCTTGAAGCCGAGATCCTGGCAAAAAATCTTTCGATTTTAGCCAACCCTCCCCTTATAGTTGTCACTCTCTCCTATTTTGATATCATTCCCGTTTCTCTTCTACAAAGCAGATTTTCTTCCTCTCTCAGTCAGAAAACCCTAACACCACTCACTACCACCGTTTACCCCTGCTACCACCGAACCACCAACGTACTGATGGACCCTCTGCTACTCTCTCTCGACTAAAAAGAGGTAAAACACCCCTGACTACTCTTTCTATCTCTCATTATATGTGTGTGTTTTCAATAACAAGACCAAACTTATTTGATTTCGCATTTCATGGATCGAGCAGTGGCTTATTTTCCGAATGGGTTACTGTTCTTTACGGTTTGGTTATCTGAAACATCCTTTGACCTCCTGTGTTTCTGACTTCTTTATCAGTGCGACAACCTCCACATGGTAAAAGATATCAAAATCACCTCCTACTATTCTTTCTTGCTGCATTTCTATTTCTATGTTTGAATTTGTTTGTTTGATAGATTTCTATTTTTTGGGGTTTTGACTAATCATTAGGGCTAAAAAGAGGTTATATTCAGAAATTATGTTCTCAAAGGTCAGAGTCTACTTCAACCTTTTGGATTATAAGGTTTGCTTGTTTCATTTTCATGTTTAAAGGTTTGGAATTCTTGAAAATAAAGGTGGTGTTGCTTCATTTTCTGCTTAAACCTTTTGATTTTATGTGTTTTTCATAAATATAGTAAACAGGATGCTAAAGTTTTGTTTTGTTTTCTAATTTTTTTTTTAATAATCCTTGGATGCTCTTCTTAAAGAGGTGAAGATCTATAAACATCTTTGAATTTTGTTATTTGGAACTTACAAGGGTATTTCTCACAGAGTCTAACCGTCATTTTTGCATTTGAATATACAATTTTTTTAAGTTGACTTGGATATCAATTTCATACTTATTCTCCAGAATGCAAGCATGAAAAGGCAAGTTACATCATCCAATGACAAATTTAATGAATTAGGTTTAGCATCGTTTTCTTTGTATATATCCCTTTGTGTGTGTGAATGTGTAAATGCTATGCAGGTCTGTAACTATTTATGCAGGGGTGTATATGTATAATCATGTTTTGATCTGCTGTTTTGGTTGAGAGTTAAGATATGAATGAAAAAGGACGATGTTGGAGCTTCAGGTGTGGCCTAATAACGTTTTGGAGCTCCTATTTCTTCTACAAAAGGTTCAAGTTGACTTTCTTTAACTTTATCTATCGTAACTAATATGATATACTTTTACTTTCTATAAATTACAATTATTGTGTTAATGATCAGGTTAAAGACAGTTTACGAAGTGATCGGGGATAATTTGGGGTTCAGTGAACATTTAAGAAGCTCTGCTGATAAGGGTTCATTCATGGGTTTTCTTCTCTTCTTTATTACTACTTATGCATCTTCTGTTATCTCTCTCTTTTTCTGGTTTCGATCACAGATACTCACATCTACACACCATCTTTTGGTTTTAGGTGTTTTGAGTAGATCTGAAAAATCTTTACTGCGCCACCATTTTTTCATTTTCTCATACATGAAAGTTTGTTTTCAAATGAATTATAAAAAGAAAGTTTAGATATTCTGAAATTTATTCACCTTCTTTTTAGTTTAGTTTTGCTTTGTTTTAATCAGGAAAAAAAAATATTTACATAAGGTAAATTTTTGATAGCTTATTTTTTTTTCTTCTGAAAGGGAGCTGGAGTGTACCATTGTAGAAATAAAAGAAAGCAACAAGAAGTTGCTTTTCCCTGGAAGCATGAAGATGCTATGAAGTGGCTCTTTTCGAAATAAGCATGTGGTAAAGTTAGGGAGAGATGAAAAGGAATGTTTGGTGTTGCTCTGGTTTGATTTTGGTATGAGTTTTTTTTTCTCTCTGATTTGTTTGGCTTCGAAAAAAAACATGTTCTTCAGTCTGGTCCATATTTTTATGCAATTTTAACCTTAATTAAACACATGTGACTTAAATTTGGTATTTTATTTGGCATAGGCTTAGTCTTTTTGAGTTTGAAAAACACAGTGGGTCATTAGTGGCGAGGGAGGACGGGTTCATGAGGGGAATGAGGAGGGAAAAAGAAATGCATTTGTGGACTATCTTTGATATATGACATGGTATTCACAACTCTTGTCTGATTTACCCTTTGGTTTTGCATACTTTGGGATGTCTTATATGTGCCCTGTTTTAGATTGAATTGAAAAGAGAATAGTGAAGCTAATGCTTTAAGCATTGACCAATACTTGCTTATGCTTACACTTTTTCTAAATCATTTTTAACATATTATATTGTTTGCTGACTGTCTGTTTCTTTCATGTTTGCAGGTGAATCTGAAAAAGAGTCCTAGAATGTGATTCCTGGTGAAGAGAAATCTTGAGGAAATAAGCAGGCCCCCTTTATATTATATATAGAATTTTATTCATAAAGTGAATAATTTCAAAGGAAAGACAATACAATCCCACCATTGGTATTACAGCAGGTGAGATGTAAAATTTACAAGAACATGAAGAGGTGGCTAAAATGTTTAAGAAATAGCAATGTATTTTGTGCCTTCTGTGAACTAGGTGTTATTTTGGTGATGACGGTAACTTATTATTCATATTGTTCTCTCACTATGGATGCCATAGCTTCTTAGCTTCTTAAATTCATAATAAATTTTATGTAATCAACCATCTAATTTTTTCTGTCCTTCATTATTCCACTAGGAGTTGAAGACGATGAGAAGACAAGAAAGAAATGAGACAAATTTGGAGAAAGAAAGGACCCAACTTCAGTTTCTATGCTTATATCTTCAAATTTTGGCTGAAAGTAATTTATATATTATTTTATAATCACAAGATGACCGAGTTAATGGGTAAGATAATATGTTATACTTTTATAACTGTATGGTTTGTTTTTTTTTACAATTCACATAAATTGGAAGATGAAAATATAAAAATGTTGCAGTGGGATGCTTTCTACATCAATGTCAGGTGTGTTCACTACTCTACATTTGATTTTCATTTTTCTTCTATTTGAGTTTTCTAAGAATGTAACAGCTAGGAATAAGGGATGATCTGTAAAGTCTCTTTTTGTCCCAAAAGTTAATATTCGAAGGATTATTGGGTATTAAGTTATTTGTTGTTTGTTTTTTATTCTCTTGCATCATGGCCTTCATTACTGGGCACAAATTAAATTTATTTGAAAACAAATGTCTAAAAATAATTTAACTATCAATGATTTTGATGACAATTAATAATACACATGGTCCGGTTTGATGGTGCCACTTTAAAACCCAAAATGTGATGACTGATGTTCATAGAAGCAAAAGAATGCATTTTTGGATGTGTGGTTCTTCCCATTAAAACACTCTGTACAAATCAATAAAGCATGTGTGGTGCGGACATATGATCTTCCGGTTATTAAATAGACTTCAAATTGTAAAGCATTTCTTATGGTCTTTTGTCGGAATGAGTTTCTGATCTTGAGATTTTTTGTAGGTTTTTAAGGTTCAAGAATGTTTAAGAGAAGGTTTAGAAGAGATCATTTAGAGAGGTAGTATGCTCTTCTAAGGTATTGAATAATATTTTCTTTCATCAAGACATCAAAAGTACAAATCAATAAAGCATGTGTGGTGTGTTATTTGCTACTCCTACGCGACAATGTTTCCATAGTTAAATCCAAAGCTCCCCACCGTAAGTGAAGAAAAAGATTATTCTATAGACCGTAAAAACTTAATCCGATATTTTAAAATTATAGGATTAGCTTCTTGACGTATGTTAGCCTTTGAAATATAATTTGCCATTATTTTTTTATGTTGTGCAATTTGGGGATGCTTTAATGTCTAAATATGAATGAGACATTAATTATTTCATTCAATCTATTGTATTAGTGTTTACATATCTTTTAATTGTAATTTTGATCTCTTTATATTTATTAATATATATAATTGATATGTATAATCCGAAAGTAAATTTAATATTATTTTTGCAGAAAAAGAATTATTAAATGGTGGTTTTAACCCAAAATAAAGAAAATAAGTTACCCAATAATACAATGAACTTTTCTTTTTTAATCGGGAAAAGTAGTTTTAACCCAAAATAGCAAAATACATATAATTTTAAATCAAAACAAAAACATACTTATATTTGAAGTCCAAAAAACAAATCGCCACTAGAAACTAATTTTTGTAAAAATTATTCACACCTGCCGCTTAGCGCGGGTAAACGGCTAGTATCTTAATAAGCATTTAGCCTTAAATGCTGAATTTTAAGAGGTATAATCCATAATACACAATATACAATCACTTATGCATGCAATGATACTAAATCTTTATCCGGTCAAAAGGTTTACCTGTATTCCCTCATCTGTAGTATTAATTGAATCGGTCAATACCCAAATTTCGGCGCCTTATCTCTGAGCAACCATCATCGTCCCTGTTAAACAATTGCGCCTTTCTCTTGACCAAATATCCCATCCCTTTCAGCAAATTTAATAGGTCTAACACCTAAAAAACCCTACGCTTACAATTCCACCATCACAATAGTCCCTTCTCCGATAAAACCCTTCCTCCGTTGCAGAATTGCACCATTGAAATTTGTTTATTGATCTTCGTCGTCGTCTCTCTCTCTCTCACCAAACCCTAAATTGACTCTGCCTCCCTTTCTCTCGACACCATCTCCATCACCATATGTAGTCGTCATCATCTCATAACTTTTTTATATGCTCTCTAAACCTCATCTGGAGTGGTCAGCCTCACCACGATCGTACCACCACCACACCAGTCATGACCAAGCTTTACGACCACTACCGATTCTCCTTTCCCCGACATCTAGATCTATATATCGATCTAAGAACCCTACTGAAAACGCTAGCCCGCCCCTCTCTCTAAAAACACCTCTCCCGATTCTTACGAGTTTTGAAGATCTAAGCTTCGCTGTTAAAACTATCCGACCACCCTTTACCACCATCAATCATCAGAACCCGAACCAGATAAGATTTTACACCATTCTCGAGTTATAATGTAAAAAAATTGGTAACTCACTATCTGTATTTACCTAAATTTCATCACTTTTTCTACTCTAGGATCTGGATATCTACATTTCGACTAAATGGGAGCAAAGATCAACATGTGAAAAATCCCAAAGACCAAGGTATGCATCTTACCCTGTTATTAGAATCAACTTTTTTTTTTTCTGTATTTTTTATTTATTGTGGGATAACTCATTATTAGTTGATTTGCATTTGTTTTTATTGTACTTTTTGCAGATTATGCATTTTTTTTTCGTATTTACCCTTTTTCCTTGCTAAGAAGCTTCTTGATTATAATGTCACATAAGAAAAATATAATTTATATATGCATTTTTATAAAATCTAACTCATATATGTGTTTCTTATTTGTTATTTAGGATGGGTAGTTGTTTACAAGCTATTTTTGTTGCAATGTTTGATACATATTCCAATGAAATTCCATTTTTAAAAGTTCCTGAAGTCGTGGTCAAGGTCGAATGATAACTAGATCAAAGTTAGACATCCATTTAAACTTCAAGCTGCTGATGCATAATTTATTGGTTTTATGCAGAGTTTTAGGCATGTAAGCAAGTTAAAAGCTTGGATCTTTCTTTGCTGGTATACAAGAATCCCCTTTTTATCTACATTTGACAATAATTTTAAACTTATTGTTTATTTTCAATCTTATTTAGTCATATTTCTTCTAATTCATGTATTTTTTTTTAAATATTTGATACATTTTTATTTATTTTGTGAAACAATGTATCTTTTAGTATTGAATAGACGATTCCCCCATCTACTCCTTTCTCACAACCATCTTAATGTTCTCTTTTCTTTACATGGCTGCAGATCTTCAGAGCTCCACTCTTTTTCTTCCTCTTCTCCGGTGCTAATGACAGTGTATGCATTACTTCTTCAAAGTTGCATGGTAATTCATCTTTTTTTTTTCTTAAATGTTTTTGAAAAAAACTTTAAAAAATGGTTGGGGTGTCGTTCATTTTTTGAGAAATAACAGCCATTTATAAAGTACATTGGTATTTGTACATTTGTTTATTTGTTGTCACATTAATCTGTTTTTATTTGTCGAATTGTTGTCTGATAGAGAATAACATAATAAGAGACTAATTTCTTTATATTGAGGCATTAAAGTTAAGTTTTTTTTTTTATTCTTATTAAGGCATTGTACTTACAAAATCATGTCTTTTCCAGGTTTAGTGAAGGGCAAAATCATCATTTATTAAAAACATTAACAGTTGAGTATGTGTCTGTGATGTGTTGATTTTCTTTAAAAGTTGTTCATTACGAGAGGATATTATTACTTAAACATCTTCTTGGTGGTGTGGTGAAAGGAGAAAGAAGAGAAAAGAGCTTATAGTTAGATGTGAAGGTGTCAAAAGAATCATACGTGGAGGGGTATCTGTTTGTATTACTTTAAAATTTGTTTATGACCTTAGGTCAAATGGTTGAGGCATGCTATCAATAATAAGGAACTGAAAATCATGAAAATAGAGGAGAATTGTCATTACAAATCAAGAAAAAGAGTCAAGAGTTGCAATATTACTAACCAACGACATTGAAATTTGTCCATGAGATACATAGTATCTTCATTTAAATATTGAGTTCTTAAGTTATTTGATTAATAATTCAGTGCTTCCATTCAATCAATCAAGCATTGCATTGTTTCTTATCTCCAATATCAAACACTAAATTGTAATGGTTATATAATTCTTATAATTTCTCTATTTTTAACTATATACATAATAACTTTTTCATCTTTAATACTTTCCAAAAAATGACATGAGATAGTAATCTTTTTAGTTTTAAATTGATTGTGACACTGGAGTACTATACCAGGAGATATCCATGTGTATTTGGTGTGCATTGAGATCAAGTGGAATACGAAATATAGGATTAGATTGTTACAATGTTTCATGAAATTTTATATTTTTTAGTTAAAACGTTAATACCATTTGTTTTTTAAAATAAAACATGTAATTAACAAATTAGATGATGTGTTTGCTAATACATATTAAATTTATTTAAAGAATAACACATTACTGAAATCGTCCCTTAGGTTTGGTCAAAATTGTGTGTTTGGTCCCTAATGTTTTTTGCACTTGGAATGTCGCCATATTTTAATTTTGTTGCGTTTTTATCCCTTGCGGACATGAAAAGGCTATATTATCCTTTACATTTTCTTATTTATTTATTTATTTATTAATTAAAGAAAATAAATAATTGATTTATAAACAAGTGGGAACCACTTTCCCTCCTACACCCACCCATCACCAGTCACCACCGGTCATCGTAAAATAAATCCAGAATTTGTTTATTTTATTCTTTATAATTTACATTAACGCTATAGATTCATAGTTTAGGTTGTAAGTAATCAATCTATATTAATATTTTTTATAACATGTGAGTATAGGTTGCAATACAACGTAAAATAAAGCATACCTATAAAGACAGTATGCTACACTATGCTTTCATTTTCATTTTTTTAAATGGTAACCTTTGCATTTTTTATTGAATGACACAAAAAACGATTGACTTTTTTCTTTGGATTTTGATGATTTTGAAATGCATTTTCAAACTCAGTTTGGCAAACCGGGTAACCTAATAGTGTCCTGATGAAATGGTCAAAATCGAACATAATAGGGAAACTTCGATGTTCGATTTATGACAAGGTATCTTTTAGTATATGCGTGAAATAACTAATCCCCAATAAAAACTAATTTTTGAAAAAACTATTCACACCCGTCGCTTGGTGCGGGTAAAGGGCTACTATATATATAGATATATATATATATATATATTAATATATATATATATATATATATATATATATATATATATATATATATATATATAGGGAAAAGATCAAATAAGAACACCAAAAAGGTTGAGAACGCGAGAACACTTCTGGACCAATCATATTATAAGAGTATATTAGTCATTGTGTATTTATTTTAAATTAAAACAAATTAAATTCAAATCTTAATTTCCTAAAAATTAGCGATAATGATTATCTACCTAAAATAAAATATGAACTGATTTTTTTATTTCTTTTATTAATGGATGATAAAGATAATTTATATTATTTTTTTTGTAATAAAAATTCATTTTTTTTCTAATTTATTATTCATCAAAATATTTTCAATCATATATGAATAAAACAATTGTAATTATAAAAACATATATTTGTAATCCTAAATAATAAATCATAATTTAGAGATAACATTTACAAATGAATAAAAATAAACTACTAATCATACATGAATATGCTAACAAATAAAAAAATCAACACATTAAAAATTATATTCATAAAATAAAATTTTCGAAGATTGAGTTTATACAATTATATATTTATATTCATAAAAGAATATACCAAGGCTAGTTTCATACATTTATACATAATTATATTCAACAATGATTAAACCGCTTCAAAGGAATTTATTTATTTATTTTTTTTTGCAAAATTCATCCCTATATCAGCCATTTTCTTGAATTGGTCACAACCCTTTCCTTCTATTTGAATCAAATGGCTTGCGAGCTTGTGTAACGAGCAGGAGCAGACACGATATCTAAAAAATTCTAGCATTCCTTCTTCTTTGATTAATATCTACAAAAATGACATAAACATGTAAGACAATAAAAAGACCAACATAATATTAACATTAATGATTAGTAGAAAAAAATACGTAGTTATAATCATAAATGATTATTACAGCGTCTTTTAATCATATGTATAACCATGTTTATAATCATAAGTGATTATAACGAACACAATTGACGATGACATGTCCGCCATCATCAAAATTGAGAAAAATAGAATGTGATTGAATCATTAAAGCATATGGGAAGGTAGATAATTAGTGTATCAAAAAGTATCAACAAGTGGCAGGAGTAACAAGAAAACTCGACCGAAAGGGCTTACCCTCTTCTAGTTATGATTATTAAAAACTTCATACCCCCCAAACATAAAGTCACCAAAGTAAATGTCCACCTGTTTGTCAGAAACATCACAAAAAGGAAGATGTTAATATAACCAATGCTTGTGTATTAAGTATTAACTATGAAACATAAAGGGTTTGTGACTTGTAACAACTTACTGAGTGTAAAAGAAAAGTACTTCGAGTCCAACAGTTATTAGATTAGCAAGAAGAACTGCTCATGACACCAAATGCAATTAAATCTGTAAACAAGCAGCCAAACAGGATGGATTGATTTCAAAGAGGTCTTCCAAGTTTTATCTTCATACAAGATCCCAATTGGAGAATGAACACAAATTCAAGCTAATTCCCATGGAGATCCTAATTGTTTTAAGCTGTGATAATTACACCAAATTTGATACAACCATGTTTATAATCATAAGTGATTATAACGAACACAACTGACTATGTTGATTGAATTTATTCACCACTGTAGTGAAGGATATCAGATTGCTAGAATTTGACCTACGAACACAATAGAAGGAAGAATCAAAACTTACCAATTGTTGATTTATAGCTTTAATTTCATACGAAATCCTGTCAAAATTTCCCCCTCTTCTTGCATCGCCAATCACGCACCCCCTTCATGATTGCAATTACCAATCGTGATTTTTGCAGTCATTCTTCAAGCCCTGAATCGGGATTGCAAGTCCTGGGGCTTACGAGAAATCGAGGCGGTCTCTTGGCCTTCGATGGAATTGGCGATTGTAGAAGTCAAAGGGGCAGAGAGTGTGAAGGCTCACCAGCGACGGCATCAATAGGGCGAAAGGAAGGGAAGAAAGGCTCGCATCGAAGGTGTGATGTCCGATATTCAGGATGTTGTGTCCAATTACGATCGTCTTCGGGGTTCGAAGAGGTTGAAGAGGTAGAGGGAAGAGGGGAAGGAAGGGCGTCGATTCTCCGGCAACCCCTGTGGCTTAATCGTCGTCATCAGCAACGCATAAATGTGGGAAGGAGCAAACAACAAAAAATCGACATTTTGGGTGAAATCAGGAAGCATCATTGTTCGATGTGGATGGTTCATCTGTCGAGCAAGGGAAAAGGAAAACGGAAGTAGTTGGGATCGGCTGTGTGATGAAGGTGTTGATTGTATGCTGTATGAAATTAGGTCAACGGAATAGAGAGGCAGGGAGTAATTATATGAGTTTACAAAATTAGGGTAATGTTTATTTACCTGAATACCCTTTATAATTTTCTTTAATTTGAAATTTAAATTTTAAATGTATTAATAATTATAAAAATAACAATTAATTATAGCCACATATCATAAAAATTAGATGGTCCAGATCTGTTCTCG